ACCAAAGAAAGAATTCCTTTAAGTGGTATCGTTTCCGGATGTTCCTTGCTCGCGTTATTATGTATGGAACGTAATTCTGTGTGTCTCGAAGATGCATTCCTTGTCTGCTGCGTAATATTGAACCAGGTAGATTACGCCTGATTAATCCAGTATTTTGGGAAAATATAATTTGATAAGTGATGTGGCATACCCCGTGGCCATTGCGAGTTGGAAAAGGTCCCCGGTAACCTTCGTAAGAAGCTAGTAAATGCATCGAGAACTCAGGTTCCGTGACTTCATTGATTGCCTCTCAAAGCATCCCGACGATGCGGGTCACTGCTCATCATTCACTGGTTTGTCTGGTCCAGAGCTGATTGTATACAGAACTCCTTGACAAAGCTGGAATATTGTGACATCGGCGCTAAATAACAAACACCATTATTGTATCAGGCATCAACGATAATTCGGTTTGTGGCTAACAACCACACACATGTCAAAAGCTATCAAGTGAACCTGTACGCTTCCGTACACCACAAGTGATTATACTGACGACTGTTGCAAGGTGTTCCACACCGCTCCTTGTGATGAATGTCGACAGATGGATGATGTGGAAGGGAGGTCTGCCAAGCTCCTTCGGTCACGGTGCACTTGTATACAGACACATTGGCAACACCCTCCAAGAGTATATATCGCCCAAACTAGTTTGAGAGTTTGCAGTGCACAGTTCATGTTGCTCAAGGAAAATTTGATACTTGACAAAGTGATAATGTGTATGGTTAGAACGTGACCCACAAGTGAGTCTTGGTCAGACCAACTGATGGTTGATGGTACGAGCAATGAAATATGTATTTATCAGATTCCCAGCAGAATGTCATGCCATTGTGACCACCGAATCACCAAAATCAGTTGCTATTGCAACAGTGGGGCTATGGGACATATGGAGACACCGAATCCCGACGAGATGAGTTAACATTAATGGTACCATGCATCTTATTAAAGTATGCAGCGCATTTCCTCATTTTCACGTGTTAAATTGGTGTTGTAGAACAATTCATTTAATCACGTTGCTTCGTTGCGTCTTGAAATAGTGACCTCCTCCGTGGTCTAGTGGTAGAGCGGAAGGTCCGGAGTTCGATACCCGGCCGCGTCATACCTAAAGATGGTTCTTGTTGTTACCCTGTCAGGCGCTCGGCATTAAAGGGCTAAAACAAGGACTGGTCGGCTCGGAGTCAGTATACTGTGTCACGGGGAATTCATGTTAAACTGCGGCATGGTATCTCAGTGTACTAGCACTATAAATCGGCATCGGTCCGGACTAGTACAAGCAGTCACACACACACACACACACACACACACACGCGCGCGCGCGCGCGTGCATGCACGTCGCTATATAAGTGGAATAATCTTGGACGCGACGTTAACCCCAATTTCGCCGTACCTCACCTCATCTTGAAATAGTGTGTGCACAGCGTGGTTATATCCAGGATCAGTGGATGCTTGTTCACCTACTATGAATGCGTGGTTATTGATATTTGTTAGGTTATTACTTTATCGACCTACTTACTTCGTTACATCGTCAATCAAATGGATCTAAATTGCCACATCGATCAGCTATGTACAAATACTCCTACCTATCGTACATAGATCGCTCCAGTGCCAGGCTTAGCCTGTGTACTGTGGCAATATGGAAGTACCCTATGTCTACAGATGTAACAAAAGCTGTATTGTATAAATGCCCGTTGTGGTTCATTGATGCAGCGTCGGTCCAAATACATTGATTTCAACAGCTGGTGAGAATGGGATAGATTATGACAGCTATGTGGCACGATATATTCAAATACGTGCCCTTGCATTGCAGTTAAAATAGGTAAAATAACATGGTATGACACTAACTGAAATGCCCTTTCACATGACATGAATTACAGTATTGACGTACAATTGTACGTAATTTGTTTGTTTTTTTCTATATGAATGCGTTGAATAGGTTATCGATTTTGGTATACACTGGAGTTTCTAGTCGTTTGATCGGTCACTCATTTTGACATATACAGTGAACTAACATGGTGAACTAAAATACAGTGAACGGAATAGTCTTGGTTACCGTTGAGGGCAGGCTTTATGGAGGCCAAAGTCCAGTAAAGCTGGACGATAGTTTCGATACTTCATCTTTGAATTCCGGCGTCTGGCCAGACGCAGTCTTGATCGCCCCATGGGGAGTTTTCCTATAAACTCCGACACCAGGTGTCCCTGGAGTAGATTTGTATCGATCCTGTATACCACCCCCAGTCGTCCCCATCAATAATGTACACTTGGCGGGCTACTGGTTCTAGTAGAGCGCATATGTTATTGTAAAAACGACACGTGGTGGTGTCTTCTGACAGCGGTCGAGATTGCAACTTGGTAACTGGAGCTGTTAAAATGGTCTTCATTTCTGGATCCCGTGCGATCTTATGTAGTTGTTGAAGAGTGTGTGAAGGCTGCGAACAGGTTATACGGATGAATCGCGTGGACCCCAAACTCAGTGTGATCGTGGTGGCACGGGGGCCCAGAAATGCGTTCTTTAGGTCGTGGTTTCGAATCCCAGAACCGCATTGATGATGTGGGTGATCGTGGGTTTCTGCTAATGCCCAAACCTGTATCACTTCGATCTTTCGTCCTAAATTAATCTGGCACACCGTAATATAACTGAAATCCTATTTAAAGCGGCATAAAACCGAACTCACTCACGCACCTACTTTAGATGATCGTCTTACACCTTCAATGAAAAGTCGTATAATCGTGTCGCTCGTGTTGGATTATAACTCAATTTTGAAGCCTGATAATTGAGACCCGTGAAGATCCGGGGTAGAATAGGTCTTCCGCAATCCATGCTTGTCGACTATGATTGTCGTAAGACGCGACTAACGGGATCGGGTGGTCAGACTCGCTGACATGGTTGGTGCATGTCATCGATCCCAATTGTGTGGATCGATGCTCATGATATTAATCACTGGATTGTCTGGTCCAGACTCGATTATTTACAGACCGCCGTCATATAGCTGGAATATTTCCGAGTGCGGCGTTAAACAACAAACCAACCAACCTGATAATTGACAACGTGATGCGTGAGTACTGTTCAGTATCCCTATTGTAATATTACACTGACCTGCTAAGTTCAATATGTGATCTTGCCGTGAAGTTTATTAAGGATACCCAATCTCAAAATCCTGTCCTATGCAAATTGGGGCGTGTGATACCTGTAGTTCAGGGCATGCTTACACAAACACACGGTGTCATCACTGTTTTTCAGTGGTCCAGTGGTGAATTTCATATCATTGATCACTGATCCATTCACACATTTTTCACCTGTTTGCTTTTTTACGCCCTATGGAATCGACGGATAATCGAGACTGGTTGTTCTCCGGCTTTGAGTTTATATTACAGAACAGTAAGAACATTTTCTTTACGAGTACCATCGATGTCATGTCTCTCTGGTATCTCAGGTTCACATGCGATACATACCGTCAATACACTGAGGTACTGTGTAAACTTCTAGTTACCTATACCATCTCCTCTGAGAATAACGCCTCCCGTGATGGTCGGGTTGTTTACTCTACCTAATTCAGTCAGTCAACCAAACATCAATAGTTAATGTTTTCTTGCCAGAGGGAGTTTCTCTGTCAGAGACGCGTGTTGCGATTTCGAGTCTGATAGAGTTTCGATTTTTTGTCTTTGAATACATCAATACGTCAATCGGGAAAAGAAAATGAATCAGTCAGGTCCGAATACTAGACTTAGCGCTCGGTCCGTTATCTGTAAGCCGTACAATAGAAACTGTACCCCGAGGCCGCTATATCAATAACACCTATTGATCAGGTGGCTAAAGGTTTGGTATCAGTACTGATTCAATGGAAGACAACACTACACAAATCAGCGTGATTCTGGTGAAATTATGGCCCAAAGGTTAGGAAAACATTTGACCTCCTTTGATTTCCTCTTAATAAACTCCTCCGTTCGACGAACTTTCATAAATAATAATATTATATTATTGTATAATAAGAATATTTTACAGAACCAAAAAATCAACACTACATATTGATCAATGACTTATAAACCAGGAAGGCTAGTTCACTTACCCTGAATAACTGCTTATGGCCCCTCATTTCCTAGCGGGTCAGGTGGGTGGTTAAAGCGTTCATCATCACAAGACCCGAGTTTATTCCCTACATGGGTACAATCTGTGAAGCCCATGTGGTAATACTAGAATATTGCTAAGAGCGGCCTGAAATCCACTCATTTATTGCATTTTAAAACTATGGAGATAATGTTTTTGAAAGTTGACCCATTATTTTCAAATGTCAAATTGACGCCCAAATGTTCAAATATTTAACGCCGAGGACACAATAACTGTCTCCATTTTGCGTGTCCATGTCCCTGTGTACAGTGGTAGGTTCACAAGGCCTTCCCCGGTCATGCCACTCTCAATGCCTGACACTATGTACCTCGTGTAATTTTGGCAAGTGGATACGGTTATGGAGGAAAACATAATCATTTGTATCCAGCCGGGTTCAGCTTGTGTGAACGAAAACGTTATAAATTATTGACATGTCAGTATCATGAACTCTCTGTACTGTGAAAACTACTTTCGTGTTCGTGCGTAATCCGACCACGCCCTCAGACCTAACATACATGAAATACCAATGTATCTCCCTTCCACGGTACGTTAAGTACCAGCCCTCGGAATCCTTGCTCCCTTATTAAATATGCATCTGAACTAAGGTCAAAGACCATTTCGTCTTTGGTACGATGTGTCCGGAACAAGAGGTTAACGATGGCATTTATTATGTCATGTAGAGACACTTTGTCCAGTTCATGTTCGCTAGGTTGTCGCCACTAAGTCGTCGCCACTAAGTCAGATGAACATACGTCGAGCATACGTCGAACCAGATTAATCGTTTGAAACAAAGAAGTAGCGAGACGAGTAGCTGTGGAACTGACAAGATAACAAATGCAAAAGTATGACAGGTTACATTGTTTTACAGGAGACGATGCGAGTTCAGGACAAGGCGTTGCTTGGACAACTGCAGCGTTGCCAGGAGACGATTGAGAGTATTAAACAACAGAGAGCGCTATGGGAGGAATGTTCGGAGGATGATCTGGATGAGGGTGATGAAGACCATTGGGAAGATTGGGAAATATCAGGTGAGGCTGGGCTATATGGACTACGCTGCAGTGCGAGGTGGTATTAATATCTAGGTTTGTTTGCTGTTCACGCCGCCCTCCGCAATATGCCAGATATATGACGGCAGTATGTAAATAATCGAGTCTGGGCAAGACATTCCAGTGATTGACAACATGAGCATCGATCTACGCAACTGGGAGACGATGACATGCATCAACCAAGTCAGCGAGCCTGACCACCCGATCCCGTTTTGCACCTCTTACGAAAAGTAACCCGTATCTTCACGATACCTGTATATTCATTGGAAACTGGACGCGATGAAAAACTACATGAAACGAAGTTCAAAATCTCTACATTGAAATCACAGAATCTCCATTCTACCATGACGCAATGACAAAACAAACGCGAACACTTTGGTTAAAGCGAAATTGATTTGTGGCATCCGTTGAGCCTAATATTTTCATATTTGGGGCGAATTCGGGGATCAGGGAAGATCCGTTTTACCACTTCACTGAGACACATTAAAATCATTTTTTCAAAACATGCCTAGAGAAGGTGAAGCGACCGTTGTGTGTTTTCATAAACTCATTATAACGCGGTAGATATGAGGACATAGTTGGTGATAGCATCGCGCCAAACGTCAAGCTGAGTACTACTAATTTGTTCGTCAAGGTTTCCGCCTGAAATATATCGCCCAACTTCCTGTAACCAATGTAGGAACCACAACACGTTATTTAGCAGCGTTAATGAAGTAAGATCAGTATTGGTGGGTTTCCGAAAAAAATCATTTTCTTTCGCGGTTATGAGGTCATCAGCAAATCATGGTCTAAAGTAGATTCGATTTCGCTGGCGGACCAAACAGAATTCCGGATTCATGAAGGTCATGGTTAGAACCTGTTTTACGCCATTGCAATAATATAGTTTTGTAAATGATCTTGGTTTGAGCAACGAGCTACGCCTTCTAGGGTCGAGCTACATCACTTTGAAACATTTCGAACAAACTGCATCTCCAATAAACAATTTTGCAACATTCAACGTGCATTCCGGTAACATCAGAGATCAACGTTATCAGTTACATATAGTCTTGATAGTTCGCTGTGAAGTCACGCGTATCAAGATGAGATTGCATGTTAACATTGTGAGATCCTGAAAGTAATCAGAGGCAAGCTGGGAATCCGAGTGTACATCAATCACCCACTCTCGTAGGAGGATTAACGTCATCAAACATTAATGACTGGAGGTGTGGTACTCTCCACACAGCCAGGCTCCACTGTAAACAATGACCAGCCGTTCTTAGATACCGGAAGTATCTTTGTTTCTATGGCAACGAAACAAATTATCCGCGTAAATTCTTGCCAGATGTTATTTCCGATGCCAAAGAAATCAATAAAACGGAAGTAAGTTGACAAAATGGTAGTGGTTGTCGACCTAACAATAATTAAATCGACGTCAATAATATGGGTATTTGCGACGGCGGGAACTCGCTGGTACATATGCTTGGCCGTATGGTGCTTATCTGAGTTGTTAATTTGTAAATCATTTTGTCAGATGCTTTACAGATATTGGCCATTGTCGCACTGCATACGGTTTTTCTGAGTAAGAGCCATATTTAGGGTCAACAGTTTCATATTGTGGAGGGGTGGGAGGCTGGGTTATTTCTTAAACAATAAACTGTTCCCGAAAATACTGGAAAGAAATAATCTGTCCTCATGTTGTATACACACAAACGTTCACTGGACATGCTGAATGTTGTGAAACTAATGTGTAAGAAAACCCCATTGCTTGGCTCCACCTGAGAGATCAGTTGTATGTCTTGAATCACAGGCTGTCCGGACCCGTATGAGTGAGTGAGTGAGTTTGATTTTACGCCGCTTTTAGCAATATTCCAGCAATATCACGACGGGGGACACCAGAAATGGGCTTCGCACATTGTACCCATGTCGGGAATCGAACCCGGGTCTTCGGTGTGACGAGCGAACGCTTTAACCACGAGGCTACCCAACCGCCCCGGGACCCCTTTGAGATAAAGGACACTGTAACTTCCTTGGGTCTGTCTAATCGAACTATTTTCTCTATTTCAGAGTTTGAGCGGAGTTTTGCAGAGGGGTCAGAGTATGCGTCGTCGACGTTGTCAAGTAAAGACAGTCGATCTAGCGGCAGCACGACGACGAGCGGAGTGTCCAGTATGGCGTCACAACGGTCAGACAGATCAGATAGATCAGAGAAGTCAGAAAAGTCGCCCAGCATGTACCAGTTCTCTTCCCAGAATCCAACTTCAAAAGTGTCAAGGACAAACTCGTACTTCCGGCAAGACCTCGAGGTCACTGTGTGAAAACGGTTGTGATGGTTGTTGAGTGTACTTAATGTGTTGACTGTGATGTGATTGGACATCCTGCATTTCGCTTCCAATTGAGGATGAATCACGTTGATTCTTACCGACTGGACACCTTCAAGTTTGGTGCACAACTAAAATGTGATAGTGGAAGTCATTGTGTGCTTGTTCAGCTGTGATGATATATGAACATGTGCGGGCGTGTTTGCAAAGCATAATGTGCTAGACACTGCGGCTAAGTGGCGCTGCAACGTCACGTGACTTAGCATTACCCACACGAAGGTGCTACAATAACCATATTGGTACCGCACGAGGCTGTCGCAGTGGAATAAGTGCATCAAAACAAACGTTATCGACAGCGTTGTAGTAAGACAATTTGGGAGAAGATTCGTCAAGCAAATCAAAGTGTGGTTTTGTGAATGTGTGAAAGAAAACATAAGAGACACGGTTTGAACGTTTGATCAACGTTTACCAGGTCACGGTCGAAGCTAGTGACCTTTAGTATGAAGGGCGGCATTTATTAGTTTTGAATTGTTAAACCACGATCACAATATCATGGAACGGACGCGAGACATATCTAGTTTTTGTTTCTTTTTGTACAACTCTCCCATGACATGCTTCCAACTGCAATACAGAAGTGTATATGTATATAGCCTTTATACCCAGTCCTATCCGGTGTGTTATTGCCAATAGCTCCAGTGAATAACATCTTTCTCATTTCAATAAGAAGGGTTATGATAAAGTATTGATGGGCCACTAAACCCGGTAGCTATAATTCTGATCCCGTTAACTCTACCTTGTCCGTCTATTGTTTAAAGGTAGTAAACATACATTTATATTTTTAACTCACGGTCAAATGTCAATTTCAACTTTGTATTATGACACTCGATCCAAATATAGCAAACCACAGTGTGGCAGACATTGTGATGACATTAATCGTCCAATTAAACATTCAACCTTGAGGAAGACCATGCAGATGATTCCACAAACTAGGAAGAACACATATATATATTCAGTATTTCCTTTATCAAACTGTACTACCTCCATTATCACTTCCCGTCGTGTACATACACTGTATCGCAGGTTATGTTCATAGTCCTGGATCTGCGCGGGGGATATTTCACGAGGATAAGGCTGTTAATCAAACAGGTTCATATTACATATTGACCGAAAAAGATTATGATAGGCTATGGTTGGTAACGCTTTCGTGTGGAGATTTATACATATTCAGACACGTGTACAACTGTTAAAACTGTCTCAGAATAATAGGTTGATATTAACACACGACGTCAAGGGCTTGTGATGTAACGACACAACCAACACTAAGGGAAGATCGTTTGGTGAAATAAAATGTTACTTTTTGCCTACAAGTATATGTCGCAATGGAAAAAATGACCGTAAGTTACGTTATTTGAAATGTAAAATGATATTTGTCATCGATTTCATAATATAGTGTAAATAATATGAAATATAGTGTATGTAATATGTCGCGTGCAACCAAGAAACATGTAATAATGAGACGAAGGGAATGTACATGAACATCATGCGATACAAAAGACACGCGAGTTTTCGCCCACCTGTCACAAGTTTTCAATTGTTATGAAGATGGTACAAACTTGTTGATTCAGATTCAGATTCAGTTTCTTCACAGAAAAACCACCACCGGTGGTACATGAGCAGTTACAGATATATGTATGAACAGACAGAACAATGTTGCAGAAGAAACCTGGCACATGGACACCGGTTCTCGTGAATTAGCGGACATTTGCAACGTGAATCTCGACAATCGATGTGTTGTATATATTGTACATGATCCGACAGTGCTAAGCGCTTGCGCCTGGTGTTTCATAACAGTCGAATTGTTTAGACAAGCTAAGCTTTCAAAAATGATCAAGATTTGATTTGGAATGGCAAGTATCTGTGTCCACATACCAGGCATAAATTCGTGCTATTTAGTGCATGCATTATTGTTGGACCTAATATGTCTTTGATTTTGGGGCCGAGCACGTCTGTCCCTTCAGAAGGTCTCTGAACGGTGTTGGTGGGATTCAAGGCAACAAAACCACTATACTAATGAAGTCGTTCCTTGCCTTTTCAGAATTGAGACTTGATTCTAATAAAAAGGTCAAATTGTTCTTCGATATTACTGGAACTTTATATTTTATGTTATGTGCATTGTACAGTAAAGCGCCTGTTGAAAGTTATCCTGTGTGTATTTTGTGTTTGGGCCTTGATAACCAACAGAAACTCGGCGGATATTCATGGAATACTTTCTTCTGGACGTACACCAAGGCCTCCAGGGTTCACCATTGACCTGGAATTCACACAATTCATACGTAATGTTCACAGGTACTGTGACATTCTACATATTACCTGGCATGTTCGCTGACACTTACCATCTCAGCGCATTTACAGTGTGTTGTCTCATTAGGGACCGATCATTTGATATTCGGGAGGATGGGGGGTAGGGGAGCTGGGATTTTATTGAGAAAAATATTCATTGTCCCTGAATATGCTTTTAAAAAATAATTATAGCTATAATGGATAGAATTATCATTAAACCGCCCGCAAAAAATGAGCGGGCCACTGTAATTTGATAATGCCCTCATTTGGCTTGACGAGGGGCCATTATCACGCCCGGTGACGTGATAGGATAGGAAGGTGACGTCACGTTCAATAGTGACGTCATCTTGTTTGTTCTAAGACGTTTCCATATTTGTAAAACTGGGTCAGTGACATTCGTGTTGATTGCAGTAAATGTTTCCAAACCGATGTTGTTGTTTCTTTTTATTTGAGAACAAATTCCATCCACGCTATTTTTCAGGGCATTATCATTAGCAGAAGCCCTCTGTCGGGCAGTAAATGGAAGACCTCGGGCTTCTACAAATGATAATGCCCTGAATAGCGTTACCCTTATAGTATGCTTCAGACCTTTGACAAAAATAATTGCCTGCCAAAACAATTACATTGTTGCAAGGTGTTTTTCTTTTTTAATAATCAGGCTCATAGTTTTGAGAAAAAGAACATTATCATTTAAACATATCTCGATGCAACATCCCCTAGAATATCAAATGGACGGCCCCTTATACTTTGTGACCATAACAGGAAGGTAACCACAAGGTTGACGTTTCTGGCAACTTCATCAACCGATATCCTTAGCAAATGGACCTGGGGAAATGGCACTAGGTGTATGTCGCAGTTGAATACCACGGGCACCAGTTCATCATTTAAATACGATGTAGATTGAACATGCAGCATTGCCGGAGGAAACGTCGCACTGGAAATTAAAATGAATGAGAATATTTGCCTTTCAGTGCACCATAGAATTTCCATGGAGGTATAAAAACACGGAAATAAATGCCGCCATTGGGTGGGGAGTGGATGTAATAGACATCGATTTCACAGCCATAATTCAAATCGGTTTTGATCACAATCTCCATGCCTCAAGGTGAGGGGTGTTGCATCGTTTTGTAGTCATGACAACCTTTCCAGTGTAGTCAGCATCATCAATCGATTTCCTGTACAGTATGATATAATACAACCATAATCATGGCTTCATTAATCAAGCCAGAATCCCACATGCACAGTGTCCACACAACAGCTGTGCTGTATAAATACACACATACTCCCGATGTAACGGCAGAAGTATGGACTTTAAGTGATTGGTCCTCCTGATGAGGATGGAGCTAGACAGTGCAGACTTTCCAGTTGCAGTACAATACAATACAAGTGTGCGCTCTATCGATCTGCTACATATACACACTGTGAGTGAGTTTATACGACGCTGCTTTGAACAGTATTTCAGTTATATCACGCCGCTTCAGCTTGGTGTGGGTGAAGGAGGTCTTACACTGGTTTGGTGAAGCCCTTGAGCACGGGCACAGTGCTGACAAACATAATCAGGACGTCGAACCACGATCATGGATTTCTGGTTACTCTGCACAGCGAATAGCCTTAGACGACTGTACGAGGTGTGTTTTATTAAAGATGTCCACTGACCCACTTCCGATGGACCTAGTGGAATGAAACTTGGCATAGGTATTAGTCTTTCTCCACATAGGAACCACCAAGAGTTACACACTTCTCCCATCGTTTGAGGCACCCTCATTTTGCGTCTCAAACCAGGACTTGACTTCAGAAATCAGTGTTTCATCATCTGTGAAACGTTTTCCCTTCAAAAATGACTTCATGGTTGGAAAGAGGTCGAAGTCAGATGGTGCAAGGTCAGGAGAGTAAGGAGGATGTGGAAGGATTTCATAGCCACAGGACCGCGCTTCTGTCTGGGCAACATGAGAGTTGTGTACTGGAACATTGTCTTGCAGGAGACGGACACCCTTGGTCAGCATGCCACGCCTCTTAAGCTTGATAGCGTCCCGCAATTTCCGCAGCAGTAAAGCATAATACGCTCCTGTAACTATGGTACCCTTTGCCAAGAAACCCATCATCACTACTCCGTGCTGGTCCCAAAACACCGTGAGCATGACCTTGCCTGGAGAGGGTTGGACACGTGCCTTCTTTGGGGGTGGTGACTCCACATGCTTCCATTGCATCGACTGAACTTTAGTCTCAGGATCATAGTGATGGACCCATGTTTCATCCTGTGTGATAAGTCTGTCAAAAAAGTTTGCCTGTTTCTTTTGGCACATGTCCAAAAGATCCTTTGAGCAATTAATTCGTTCCTGCTTTTGGAGAGGTGTGAGCAACCTGGGAATCCATCGTGCAGACACCTTATGCATGTTCAAATTGTCATGGATGATTTTTCCACAGACCCTACACTGATCTTGACATATTGTGCTAACTGGCGAACAGTTATACGTCGGTCTGCCAAAATGGCGGTCTCCACTTGATGGATAGTGTCCTCATCAATGTCTGAATGGGGGCGACCAGGAATGGCAGCTGTTTCCACAGATGTCCGACCACACTTGAACTGGCGATGCCAGTGTTTAACAACGTCATATGATGGGGCATCTTCCCCATAAGTTGCTTTCATTTCATCGAAAGTTTCATTTGGTGTGCGACCTTTCAAATATAAAAACCTAATCACCGCTCGGTATTCTACTGGCTCCATTGTCACACCCTACTCGATCATAACACCTGTAAAAGTGGTAAGATTAATAGTTCGGTGCTGCAAATTCAGACATAATATATAGATACATGTATCATTACACATGTGAAATTTCAACCAAATATGATAACCCTAAGTAGTTTAGGGGAAATCTTAAATGAACACCCCTCGTACCTCCCGTGTCCCCACCAACTTGAAGATTTGCAGTGTTAACGTTGATCATATGGGATGTAATCGATGATTCCTAGAACAGAACTTTATTCAATTCAATACTATGTCCATACCACGTTTGCACAGAGCAGCATATTTTGTCCAAGGGTGGCGACTATTTTACCTTTGTTACAACTGATCTGTTTGATTGCCATGTTTGCTACAATCACTCCACTGACCAAGTTTCATTAAAACGCACAGCTGTGTGTGAAGTCATGACGTAGCACAGTCATATAGAAAGACATAAAGACATTCATTAACTAGGTCTATTCATAGATATATTATTCCATCTTCCTTTGTTAGTTGGTAGTCGTTGACACGAAGTTCCAAATTTTAACAGGTTCAGGTAAACTACTCAGGCAGTTCTGACTGACAACTTTCAAAATTACATGAACTTCACCAATTTTGAAAGAGTTTGCTTTCGGTGGAAAGTATGCAATTAATATATAAGAGTTAATGTCATCTTCGGCGACAAACGTAAAAATGGAACAAGTCACACAAGAAACTTGAGTACTGAAAATACGATAGGCTTACCCATAAGGATACATTCGCGGATGCAGGATCCAGAGGATATGCACAGGTACGCACATCAACTATAATCATGCTGACATATTTTTAAAAAAATATTTGGTGACCCTTTTAAATACACACCATTATTTGATTAAACTTTGGCTGACAACGCAAAGTGTTTCCCGAATCATGTGCCGGAATTGTAAGGTCAGTACCACCCCCAGCCCTCTAAAAAGCGGTGTCCGGGCATGCTATATCTATCTGTAAGGCCAATGGAGTAATCTCCAGTTATACACATCGAGATGCCACGCGACAATCCAATCATTTTACATAAAAAAAACTCACCGTTTTTTGTCACATGAAGGCAGGGGGATAATTTGTACATTCACACCCTAAATGTGTGTGCGGACAGTCAACATACGTCTCACATCACAGGCGCCCCATCAGCCTTTCTTCATCCTTGCTGCTCAAGTGGCAATCTTTTATTTCAGACACAGGAATTTAATCCGAATTCCCAACACCAATTAAATATTTCAGAAGATTTCTAACATCAAAGTGTGTTCAGTTAATTACACTTGTGGAGAGAAAACGTGTGAGTGCGGTTATTCCGCCTCCACATCATGTAAGAGACAATCAAAGAGACAGGAAATCATGTTCCTGGATTTGTTCTGTGTAAGGCGCCACCAATTGGTTGGCCAGAATCCTCTCGAGCAAACACTACTGTGACAAGTATCACCAAGTTTATCTCCATTATCTTTCACAGACATTTGTCAAGTTAATGTAATTTCTGAAATCAATACTTAAAACCCCTGGAAACACATAAGGGCGTTGTACATGGAATGTTTGTTTTTCTCCATAATGGAGATTTTGTGGACGTTCCAGCTAATGGGTATTTGGTACTCAGAGAAATGGTCACTTCAGTTCAATATCAGCCCAGGCAACTGATCTTGTGTTTTGGGACAGGGATTTTAACAAACCTTCCAACACTTTTATGGTGATAGAGTAAATGCGGAAGTGAGTACTTAATAATGAAATATAATGAAAATATAATTCAACTGGATGGTTGCATTGGCGGTTTCAATGTCTAGAATATAGGTCTCATACATGTGGCAATATTAATACTGAGGCAATGTCGACCAGTAAACCCTAGAATGTCTGTTTAATCCAAAGGTGTTTAGGAGAAAACGGTGGAACACACTTAATGATCAGTAGATCTTCCATCTTTAGGTTGTTAGCATTAATGCTGCAAGGAACACACAAATTATACAATCAGGATCAGGTTTTACAAGGGAAATACAGAATACTTTTACCACTTTACAGGATCCTAGACCAGGCAAGTTACAGTCAGATCGGAATTCTGTGAGCATGTTTTACAGGCACCATTGCTGAAACATGTCAAGTTCAGATTCATTGGAGTGAGTGAGTGAGTGAGTGAGTGAGTGAGTGAGTGAGTGAGTGAGTGAGTGAGTGAGTGAGTGAGTGAGTGAGTGAGTGAGTGAGTGAGTGAGTGAGTGAGTGAGTGAGTGAGTGAGTGAGTGAGTGAGTGAGTGAGTGAGTGAGTGAGTGAGTGAGTGAGTGAGTGAGTGAGTGAGTGAGTGAGTGAGTGAGTGAGTGAGTGAGTGAGTGAGTGAGTGAGTGAGTGAGTGAGTGAGTGAGTGAGTGAGTGAGTGAGTGAGTGAGTGAGTGAGTGAGTGAGTGAGTGAGTGAGTGAGTGAGTGAGTGAGTGAGTGAGTGAGTGAGTGAGTGAGTGAGTGAGTGAGTGAGTGAGTGAGTGAGTGAGTGAGTGAGTGAGTGAGTGAGTGAGTGAGTGAGTGAGTGAGTGAGTGAGTGAGTGAGTGAGTGAGTGAGTGAGTGAGTGAGTGAGTGAGTGAGTGAGTGAGTGAGTGAGTGAGTGAGTGAGTGAGTGAGTGAGTGAGTGAGTGAGTGAGTGAGTGAGTGAGTGAGTGAGTGAGTGAGTGAGTGAGTGAGTGAGTGAGTGAGTGAGTGAGTGAGTGAGTGAGTGAGTGAGTGAGTGAGTGAGTGTGAGTGTGGTTTTACGCCATTTTAGCAATATTCCAGCAATATCACGGCAGGGGACACCAGAAATGGGCTTCACACATTGTACCCGACTGCCCCTCAGCTTCATTGGAGGTGTAGTTTCAGGGAACATGATAAAAATGTAAGTTTACAATGTTGTTTAATGCTGCAGCCAGTAATATTCAATACATATCATGGTAGCCTGTAAACTATCAAGTCTGGACAAGGCAATCCAGTGAGGGACGGCATGAGCAATCATCAAGGCCATCAGTGCAGTGACACCCATTAGCCCAGTCACACCACCTGTTAGCTGGCTCTTAGGAAACCACATGGGCCCTGGGAACCCATTCTGATTGCCAAACACATTATCAACATGTACTTGATCAGATTTGTCAGCAGGTTCTATGACACAATGCTTGGGTCGTCAAGGCAAAGCTACAGCATCAATCTGTCTCTATGATGGATGGACATACAATGCTTGCCAAAAAACTCAGTTGAACACTTTGGTTCCTGTGAGAAAACACTTAAAAGTGCTGGAAAAGGTGAATATATGAGAAAACGTACAACTTTATGCATAACAACTTCTAGTTTATTGCATACTGCGACGTTTCAATGAAGATTCTTACACTGTTATTTAAAAATCATAATGGTGTACAACGAAACGTTGCTATATGCAATAAACCAGAAGTTGTTATCTATAAAGCTGTATGTTTTCTCTCTTTCTCACCAACTTCTAGAATGCCAATCAAACAGCAAGTGTAAGTATAAGTGTACCTTTGAATTGATAACTGAAATTTAATTCAAATAAAGACTCAATACAATTTTCTTTTAAAACAATATTTTATTTCACTAACAGTGACTCAGTGTAGTCAACGTAAACCCTGGACATTCTTGTGTCACCAGTGATACTTAAGTAAACCTAGGTGAAGCCCTAAGTATGTCACACTCATACACACAGGTACAGCCGACCAAGAAGGTGAATGTCTCAATAGAGAGCCGGCTTTATCAGCATCAGTTTCACACTTGGTAGTGAAACCTATACCAGTAACAGTAAGACAATACAATGTATCACCATTTCATAGATGGATAGTCATTCACAAACGACAGTTGTTGTGCAATTTTGTTAACGTCTTCCAGGCCAACCTTGTGATAAACTGTATCATTCTCTAAACCACTTTGTACACAAATTGAAATACCACCAATACTCCTGGAAATAATTTACACTGTACAGTTCACATATTCTCCTATATGTCATCACGTTCATGAACTTGCAGCTTTCTTCTGCTCAAACTCTTTCATCCTCCTTTCCAGCTCCGGCCTGTAGTGACGGATCAGGCCCTGTAAACAGGAGTATCAGTACAGATCTTAGTGGAAGGTGTAACACTGCTCTAAACATTTGCACACTGAGAGAGAGGGTGTACACAGAACAAAGGCACTCACCACAAGCACAAGTTGCTGATAGTTGTCTTTATCATAGTAACAACTAACTTGATCAGGATTTTGTTTTCAAGTCTAAGAAAAACAAGGGTTTTTTTTCTTAAATTTGAACTGTTACCATTTCTTGTTTTTTTCCAAACAACAACTTGAGGTTGAGGATTTTACAGAATGTCTATCTGACAAAATACCCCAAATCATCATGTATCAAAATAATCATTATATGTGTTTGATGGGGGTTCAGGGTAGAATAATTTTTTATCAGACTTTTAACTTTCAACTGCACCCATAACCATTCAAAATCCTTGCATTTGTATGCAACACCATCTTCACAATTGCAACAGCTTTTAACAGATTAAAAAGTACACCTGTCAGTTGTGACCCACCTGAACTGGCCAGGCAGCTCCATCACCCAGAGCACAGATAGTGTGTCCTTCAATCTGCTTGGTCAGTTCATACAGCATGTCAATCTCATCCGGCTGAGCGTTACCCGTCACTGAAGTCAAAGGGAGATAATCAATCAACGTGGACACAGGCTAAAAAAGGGAGATAATTATAATTCTTGTACCCTTGAATTAATCAAATCCATCTTATTGCTTTATATACTTATGTGAAAGAGTACATTAAAACCTGAAAAAATGCAGTTGACACTAAATATTTACACTGACAATGTATGGGCACAAACAACATGATCATCTCAGAGATTTTGTTCAATAATGTATTTCAAATTATGTTTCTTGAAATTTAAGCAAAACAAAGAAAAGTTTTGTTTGTTTGTTGTTTAACGCCATACTCAGCAATATTCCAGCTATATGATGGCGGTCTGTTAATAATCAAGTCTGGACCAGACAATCGAGTGACTGACATCATGAGCATCGATCCATGCAATTGGGATCGATGACAAGTGAAATTACAGGTTAAAGAAACAGTGGTTATCATTGCTATAACTTATAAAATCAAACTATAAATAGTTTGGCTAATTTTGCTACTCACTGAATCTGTCCATAACCTTTACCATCCAGCCAGTGCCCTCTCTGCACGGTGTGCACTGCCAACAGGACAACAATATAGTATCCCAGTGTTACAAATAAACCTGAAATTTTCTACAATAGTATCAAAATCTAGGTCCCACCTTAAATTTTGTTTTAACCTTATGGTTATGACTGGCAAGGACACATTCACCTTTTTTTAGTCATTTTGAAAATTATACTCCAACTGGATGAAACAAAGAAATGACTTCAGAATAGCAAATGAAAATTGTCATTTTTGACCTCATCCTCGGTTATCGAATGAATCAAATTTAGAGTATGTAGACATGGGAGAGATGTCTTTATGCTAAATGGCAGTCACAGTTGTAATAGAGGGTTCATGCAACAAGGACAGACCTGTACTGGCAACCATGCTTGTCATATTAACATGTCATTTGAACTGGACTCAAAACAAAGCTATGATGGGGATTGGATTCACAGTATTTATCCCAACAAAATGGAGAAACACTGGATTATGGAGGATGTTCTTTCCCTGAGATACAAGTTATTACCTACACTCCCACAAACAACCCTATTTACTTTCATCTGAATCCAGAAACACTCTGCTGAGAAAGATCCATCTGTACTTACTTGTCCACAACTCTCATGCTTGTAGAAGTCCATGAGCCTTGCAATGCCACGCACGATATCAGCCTGGTTGTTGAACACAATGAGGGCAGCAGTTCCCAGGCCTGTCTGAACCTGGACCAGAGCATCGAAGTCCATCATGACGTCATCACAGACCCTGACAAACACAACACATGGATTCATCAGTAAAACAAATCACCACGCAATGCAATATGCCTGTACGGAAACCAAACAGCTCTGATATTCATGTGTTAGAACTTAGGTTAATCGCCTGCATCTATAGAGAAATTCACTGTCAAGTTCCAAAAAATGAAGAACATATATGGAAAATGGAGCACTTTTATTTTTCATGTAATTCATCGCTTAGGGGGCTTTCCAATTAAAATGGATGTCCTGACAAGTAGGTTTTCACTGTAAATATAAGTTACACAGGCCTGAGCCTGAAATTTGTAAAATCTCGTTCACACATCTTTTTCAAATACATCCAAAATTAGGCAAAGCATTGACCAATAATGGATAACGATTGTGCTCAAGACAAGGATATCGCCCAAGCCTTCATCTTCAACTTACTTCTTGGGAATGAGTGGTGTGGAGGAGCCCCCTGGGATGACTCCCTGTAGGTTCTCCCACCCCCCGATCACACCCCCAGCGTGTCTCTCAATCAACTCTCGGAGTGAAATAGACATCTCCTCTTCAACAGTGCAGGGGTTGTTAACATTGCCCGAGATGTTGAACAACTACAAACAGCAGAAAATCAAACATCAACACATTCACTGTTTACAAAGATTCAGCACTGGGCCCCATTCCACAAAGCCATCTAAGCGCTAAGTCGATCGTAGCTCCCATTCTTTATCACTGACTTACGACAATCATAGCGCTTAGATCGCTTTGTGGAACGGGGCCCTGATCAGTTCAGTGAGTGAGACATATAGGCTTATAATGAACTGTGGTTAACATAACCTAAAATCAGTGGTCCCTTTGAGTTTGTTATAACCATAATGTACTGTACATAAAAGATTCACAGATCCAGAACAATATAAAATCAAAAGACTTCTATGGTTACAGAAGCATCTCATTAATTTTCTAAATATTCATAAAAAGGCTTCCACTTAAAAAACAAATACCTTGGTGCCACGGTTCCTCTCCCTTCCAAATGATGCAAACCAGTCTCCCCCTCGCCTGCAGATGATCTGGACATAACACAAACAATGTCTTCAAAAATCTTCAAAACAAACATATTGACAAAAATGAAATTTCACGATAATTCCTGTATTATTTCTTTTAACATAAAACATCAACATTTAATGTCTTCCTATTCCACCATTTTCTAAATGTCAGTAAAAGACTTCATAAATTGAAAGTTACCAAACCTAAAAATTGTACATCACATTGATTTTGTTGCCAAAATGATTATCCAACTCAACAGAAATATTGCCAACGATGGTGCAATTGGCTGGTTGGTTGGTTGTTGTTTCACACTCAGCAATATCCCAGCTATATGACGGCGGTCTGTAAATAATCGAGTCTGGACCAGACATCCAGTGATTGATATCATGAGCATCGATCCACGCAATTGTCAGTGAGCCTGACCACCCGATCCCGTTAGTCGCCTCCTACGACAAGCAATAGTCTTTTACGGCAAGCATGGGTTGCCTTTACTACCCCGGATCTTCATGGGTTCGATGGTACAATGACTTACCGGAGCTACTGCTACTGTTTCTACATTGGCTACAGTTGTCGGACAGCCGAACACTCCAACATCAGCAGGGAATGGAGGCTTGAGACGGGGCTTTCCCTGTTTGCCTTCAAGGGACTCAATCAATGCCTGTAAAAACAATCATTCATAATGACATGAAGGACATGTTCACATATATCTCATATCATGCACTGCTATTTCTCAATAAATGGAATCTGTCTGTATGAAACACTGGCAAATGGTCACATAAGAAATAGATTGCACTGCATAAGCAAACACTAACAATTCTCACATATCATGAATATTTACACAAAATTGTAACAAGCTGTGTCATAGAAACAGAGATCTGGTAAACTGCTAACAAACTTATGTCTGAGCTCACTGCCTGTGTTAGATTCTAAAATGGTAAGAAAATGTACAACTTTAGAGATAACAACTTCTGGTTTATTGCATATTGCAATGGTAATAGAACTGCATACTATATTCGCTGTAGTAAGCACCCCGTTCCATTAATCAGCCCCTTATAACCTTCAAGACCAATGTGTAAGTAATCTGTATAAACTCCGCGCTCTAAGCCCCAAAATGTACATGACAGTCCTTATTTTCTGGTACAGGATTTCTTACAAATGACCCAGCAGTCAGTCAAAGAGAGGGATATGATTGCCTTGACAATATTATCCAAATAATGTTGGAGCTTCATCAACGTTTAAACTAAGTTTGTTCTCTACTGCTTGATCTAATTACTGCGAATACGGTACATGTATCCAATCCAATAGAAACACTCACAGTTTCCTCCCCACAAATGTAGGCCCCAGCTCCACGGTGCACAAACACATCGAAGTCATAACCAGAGCCGCATGCATCTTTCCCGATGAGGCCATTCTTGTAGGACTGAAATAACAGAGATCATGAGAGTATGTTGTGTAAAAAAGTCAAGTTTCTTTAACACTGCAGTGACCAATATTCCAGCTAAAATCATGCTGACTTTTCTTTTTGGCCTTGAAAACCAGCTCACATCCACCATATCATGGGTTCCCCCGTGCAAAACAATGACACAAAGTTTATGTGGACTAACAGTATAGTGACATTAAATGTCCATAAAAAACTGTGGAAGTTTATGTGGACTGTAACAGTAAAGTGACATTGAACGTCCATAAGAAACTGTGGAAGTTTATGTGGACTGTAACAGTAAAGTGACATTGAACGTCAATAAGAAACTGTGGAAGTTTATGTGGACTGTAACAGTATAGTGACATTGAAAGTCCATAAGAAACTGTGGAAGTTTATGTGGACTAACAGTATAGTGACATTGAAAGTCCATAAGAAACTGTGGAAGTTTATGTGGACTAACAGTATAGTGACATTGAATGTCCATAAGAAACTGTGGAAGTTTATGTGGACTGTACCAGTATAGTGACATTGAATGTCCATAAGAAACTGTGGAAGTTTATGTGGACTGTAACAGTATAGTGACATTGAATGTCCATAAGAAACTGTGGAAGTTTATGTGGACTGTACCAGTATAGTGACATTGAAAGTCCATAAGAAACTGTGGAAGTTTATGTGGACTGTAACAGTATAGTGACATTGAACGTCCATAAGAAACTGTGGAAGTTTATGTGGACTGTACCAGTATAGTGACATTGAACGTCCATAAGAAACTGTGGAAGTTTATCTGGACTGTAACTGTATAGTGACATTGAATGTCAATAAGAAACTGTGGAAGTTTATGTGGACTGTAACAGTATAGTGACATTGAATGTCCATAAGAAACTGTGGAAGTTTATCTGGACTGTAACAGTATAGTGACATTGAATGTCCATAAGAAACTGTGGAAGTTTATGTGGACTGTACCAGTATAGTGACATTGAAAGTCCATAAGAAACTGTGGAAGTTTATGTGGACTGTACCAGTATAGTGACATTGAATGTCCATAAGAAACTGGAAGTTTATGTGGACTGTAACAGTATAGTGACATTGACTGTACATAAGAAATTTGAAGTTTATGTACATATATTAATTTGAAAGAGAAGTTGGAGTGACATTTGTACATGTACATATAAATTCATGTTGTTAACTATTTATTGTGTGTATTAGTGTTGGTATTAGAATATTATTATTTGTAGTAGTATTAGAATATTATTGTTAGTAGTAGTATTGTCAAGTAGTAGAATATTATTATTAGAAGTAGTATTGTCAAGTGGTAGAATATTGTTATTAGAAGTAGTATTGTCAAGTGGTAGAATATTGTTATTAGAAGTAGTATTGTCAAGTAGAAGATGTCAAGTCAAGATGCAGGTCTCAGACGTTTACCACTTGAGTGAAACCCATGAGCACAGGTATGGTGCTGAAAAACCTAGAAACATAATCGGGGCGAACCGGGATTCGAACCCACAATCATAGGTTTCTTGCGTGCCCAAGGGACGCAACTCTGCACAGCGAATCGCGGCGCCTTAGACGACTGGGCAACCCGTGCCCCCCATCCATGACAGTGACACTGGGGATGTTTTGATACGTTGTAACATCAGCTACTGTTCACCATTCATTTTATTGTGATTATCACTTTTCTTTTTTGTATTGAAAACCACCTCACATCCACCATATCATGGGTTTCGGCATGCAAAACAATGACATGATTACCTTTACCTGATGGCATAATGGGTGTTTACATCCATCTGACAGTAGCCACATGCGGTAACTGGAATGATTCTTATTCACCCAGGTTTCATCAAGATAAATGACCCGGATGGACAGGATGGAATATTTTCCCCTCAATACTGCCCCTTCATCATGACCACATGCAGTGTATCAAAATACCATCTCGTGGAGAGAAATAATATTAGTAGTCCTGAAAACAGTAGTTGGGGGGTACCTTCTGCTCGTAAAGCTCGTACAAATATCACTTGTCCCTAACTTGTATTTTCATGATTCCATTATTTCTATAAAAATCAAGGAAGGGGCAGTTGCACAAATCAGATCAAGCCTGGACCACCCAGCAAGATGTTGTCAACTGTAACAAAGCATTACCTCATTTATGGCTATCTGCAGATTGGAGGCTTCATTGTAGAACTCTCCTCGAATGTAGATGTAGGCTGTGAATACAGATCACATCACAGACTAACATCATCAACATACACAGCATGAAAGACATTGAAAAATAAACAAGAACTGTTGTGACTGAATTTGTTCGCATATTATAACATAATAGAATAGGTAGAATAGGTCTTCAGCAACCCACGCTTGCCGTAAAAGGCGGCTATGCTTATCGTAAGAGGCGAGTAAAGGGATTGGCTGGTCAGGCTCGCTGACTTGGTTGACGCATGTCATCGTATCCCAATTGCGTGGATGGTTGCTCATGATGTCAATCACTGGATTGTCTGATCCAGGCTTGATTATTTACAGACCACCATCATTCAACCCAAATGATTTCAACCAAAAAACAGGTTTTCTACCAAAATACAGGATTTCAACCAAAACACAGGATAACCAGAGAGCAAGATTCTGTATGCAGATGCTACCCACCAGCCCTGGCCCCCATGGCTTTGCCAGCCACCAGGCAGCCCTCAACCAACTTGTGAGGGTCGTGTCGCATGATATCCCGGTCCTTGCACGTCCCGGGCTCCCCCTCATCTGCATTCACCACCAGGTACTTGGGTCTGCAGGCAACATACAAGCACCTCGTGTACACAGTAACACTATTATACAAATAGCCATTACTGAATAACTTAAACACAGACTTAGCTCACCCAAATCCTATCCAGGACCTTTTTTCAAGACAAATTGTACATTTATCAGAACAATATGCATGGAAAGAAATAGTTATGTTGTATGAAAATGATCATATCAAAATAAGGTTCGCTATTAATAGTTCTTACCCAAGGGAAAACAAACATGATCCAAAGCATTTGTTCTAATCATAAATGTTAAGCGATCAAGTGTTTGACCCATAAACAAATGAACAATGTTGGCATTATTCTAATGTGTATTTACAACAAAAAAGTAAGACAGAAAACATGGAAAAATATACCTTTAAACGTCAATATACCTTTCTTATTATGACCAAAACTAATCACTTCATTAGAAAAGGTTCCAGAAACAAGCTGTATTCCTCCAAATCCTTGAATACACAAACACTAACCTTCCATCTGATGGCTTGTTCATAAAGCCCCACTTCATGCCAGTAGGAAACCCAGCACCGCCACGCCCCCTAAGGCCAGACTTGGTGATCTCCTTCAGAATCCAGTCAGTGCCTTTCTGGAGGATCTCCTTTGTCTTATACCAGTCTCCCTGGAATATCATCATCATCATCATCATCATCATCATCATCATCATAATCAGCAAGTGACATACATTCTACACACACTCTACACATATTGGGAATCAAACTTGGGTCTTGTCCTGTGTAAATGCTCCATCCCCTCAATCTTATTAAAATCAGATCTTTTACTGCAACACAAAACCTTATTGTGTAAAGATATGAGGACACCTGCGTAGTAGGTTGTGTTAGGTGAAGGTTCTTATAAGCTAATCAGCTTCAAGGCTTTTAAATTTTTTAGTACAAGTGAAGTATTCATTAAGTATATCTGATTTCTGTATCCTGAATTTTTTTTTAACTCTGCCAAAAACTAAAGCCATACTATTATATTGTAGATACCAGTATGTTATTGACCCTGTCATTATTTTAGCAACACGGCATATACACCCAAAAGGGTGAACCACCAAGGGTATATGGCCTTTGGAGGTTTTCATTAGTTAAGGTGAAAATTTCCAAATCAAATGGTAAAGAAATTAAGCTGAATTATTTTAGAAAGATGACCTCTGATTGGCTCAAGAACCCACACATTTGATTGGGTGGTCAAAATTCACTCAGGATTAGATTAGATTGGTTGTCATCAATGGTCATATATAAGTAGACTTTTTCTTTATATCGCCTACAAAAATGTTCACACGGTCAGTGGTCAACATTAGATGGTCTAGACACAATGAAATAAATCCAATCCAGTCCATTTCTGCCTGGTGGTGCATGTAAGATAAAACAACCAGTCCTTTCACAATTTTCACTTATCTCAGACAAAATGGACAAGTGGACTTATCCACTAACAGCATACTGCTCTTCCAAACTCACCCTTGACATAGCTCCTTTGAGTTTCCAGTCATGGACTTATCCACTAACAGCATACTGCTCTTCCAAACTCACCCTTGACATAGCTCCTTTGAGTTTCCAGTCATGGACTTATCCACTAACAGCATACTGCTCTTCCAAACTCACCCTTGACATAGCTCCTTTGAGTTTCCAGTCATGGACTTATCCACTAACAGCATACTGCTCTTCCAAACTCACCCTTGACATAGCTCCTTTGAGTTTCCAGTCATGGACTTATCCACTAACAGCATACTGCTCTTCCAAACTCACCCTTGACATAGCTCCTTTAAGTTTCCAGTCATGGACTTATCCACTAACAGCATACTGCTCTTCCAAACTCAGCCTTGACATAGCTCCTTTGAGTTTCCAGTCATGGACTTATCCACTAACAGCATACTGCTCTTCCAAACTCACCCTTGACATAGCTCCTTTGAGTTTCCAGTCATGGACTTATCCACTAACAGCATACTGCTCTTCCAAACTCACCCTTGACATAGCTCCTTTGAGTTTCCAGTCATGGACTTATCCACTAACAGCATACTGCTCTTCCAAACTCACCCTTGACATAGCTCCATTGAGTTTCCAGTCATGGACTTATCCACTAACAGCATACTGCTCTTCCAAACTCACCCTTGACATAGCTCCTTTGAGTTTCCAGTCATGGACTTATCCACTAACAGCATACTGCTCTTCCAAACTCACCCTTGACATAGCTCCTTTGAGTTTCCAGTCATGGACTTATCCACTAACAGCATATTACTCTTCCAAACTCACCCTTGACATAGCTCCTTTGAGTTTCCAGTCATGGACTTATCCACTAACAGCATACTACTCTTCCAAACTCACCCTTGACATAGCTCCTTTGAGTTTCCAGTCATGGACTTATCCACTAACAGCATACTGCTCTTCCAAACTCACCCTTGACATAGCTCCTTTGAGTTTCCAGTCATGGACTTATCCACTAACAGCATACTGCTCTTCCATACTCACCCTTGACATAGCTTCTTTGAGTTTCCAGTCATGGACTTATCCACTAACAGCATACTGCTCTTCCAAACTCACCCTTGACATAGCTCCTTTGAGTTTCCAGTCATGGACTTATCCACTTACAGCATACTGCTCTTCCAAACTCACCCTTGACATAGCTCCTTTGAGTTTCCAGTCATGTCGACCATAAAGGTTGGTGAAAATTCGGTCTTCATCTTTCAATGGGCCAAAAACAGTCTGAGAATAGAAACAACATTGTCACAGATTCACAAATCAATACCTGCAAATCAGACACACATATTCAAAAGTTCCAATGCCATTTGTTGCTTGCAATATCACTGTGTACCATCCTGATTAGCCTGTAACTTCTTACAGTCATGATATTACATTCAAATCAAAGTTACAGTTTGAAAGGGCAGCATCATAGGTAGACAATAGCGTGACATTGCCACACAAGATGGACGTATGTCTTACATTATGCACATTAAAACAATCAAAGTGCAATAAATGAGTTATAAATATGATGAAATGATACATCAATTTATGATTAAGCTACTAGATATATATAAAATAATTGTGCATAGATTATACATGAAATTTAATATATAGTAAATTAGTCAAATCTAAATATTTTTCCCATTTGGATACTTATCCTGCATTACTACCTAAATGCTTCTACTGCTGTTCTTTGACTAGGAAGACGGAGCTGTGAGAGGTCCTGGTTACAGAAATTGTTTTACCAACCAGTCGTGTGGCATCCGTCCTCCCACAGCTACCATGTGACTGGAAGTGGTAACATCACGTATAATCACATCACTCCTAGTAACGGACATCTGAAAAACTTCGCGGGTAGGCAGCAAAGCAATGGGAGGGCACTCTAGACGTAATAATGCAGGATAAGAATCCAAATGTAAAAAATATTTAGATTTTACGAAATGTTTTTATCTTATCCTGTGTTACTACCTTAATGCATTTTTATCAGATGGATAGGAAGGGGGAGCATACCTTTCAGATTGAATTTAGGATGGACAGAGCACCAGATTGTGTCCCTTTTATCAACCTCAGGACCCGGGGAGGGAGCGACCGAAGTCAACAGTAAGCACTCCGTTACTTGGTTAAGTCCCAGGTGTGTGTCTACGGCATATAGGCTTCCTCTAAAGGAGCCAATGACAGACATGAGGTAGTCATAGTTATTTGCAATAGAGGTGTATGCATATGCTGCGTAAAAGCAGCTATTAGCACAGGAATGGAAACTGGGGGCGACAGAGACACCGAAGGTATACTGATAATGGTTGATGGCGCCGGAATAACACCTCAGTCAACATGATTGACGATCCCCCAAGTCCGAGAAGTGTCCCTGTGGTCGACCATCTGGGGATGCCTGCAGGCACATTGGGTGTGTGTCGTTTTCTCAAGACCCTTAGGGATACAGTGAAGTCTCGAGGGGAGAGAGAGCGGTAAAACTTGCACCGTGACGATGTGGAACAGGGAACCGTACAATCAGCGCAGGGGGGAGCTTACACGCGCAAAGTAAGCACAGGAAAGAGACAAAATCAGGCGACAATCACACTTCTGGTCACATGGTAGCTGTGGGAGAAAGGAAGACACACAACTGGTTGGCACAACAATTTCTTTAACCAGGACCTCTTGCAGCTCCATCTATCTAGTCAAATGAACAGCAGTAGAAGCATTAAGGTAGTAATGCAGGATAAGATAAAAATATGTATTTTCTATTTTTGTATTATTAACCAAGTTTGTTAGCATGGCTAGTTTCAAACCTTTTCAGCTTTTGCTTCTGTTGAATTGGACCTCACAGCAAAAGACAACTGGGGAGTGACCTGTTTTCTGGCTGGAACAAGACCAAATGATGACCTGAGGTTGTGTAATTTGTATCTTAATGGATTGAAACAACTGATCTGTAAACATGATATATGTCCCTGCCACACTCTTTGCTACTGACTTGTTCTAAACTTACACATAAGATACACCATGGATACTTCTGTCATTGAAAAACTATCCATGTTTTTAGATAAAAAGAATCATAACCAAGATGACCGCTTCATCATGTCAATGATAATCAGGCATTGATTAAGAATTGACCATCACTTTGTGTGAGTTCATTGAGTATGAACTTTCATAAGAGTGAGGGCCAAACTGTGTGAACATCGGAGCTTGCGATAAAGTGAAAGTTAAGTCTCATAATTTTTTCATATCACTAGTTTTACCTCAAAGGACGTAGATATTGATCTATACACAATTATATTTAGTATGTGTGACTTCATGTTTACACTGACATCCATACAACAACGAGCTGTATTGCGGAATAAAATAGTGACATGAGCTTATGTATGCTCTACATGCTCAACAGGGTCAACTTTTGTAGTTTCTTTAGAACAAATGTATTCAAATAATATCCTCATTAGATGAGAAAAATCTGTTAAGAACTACCTCAGTAAGTCAGTCACAATGTCAGCGCATCGTAATACATTTACATCAAGTATAAGATGTCAAAATGGCCGACACGATATACACGACGGGAGAGATTTTCGAAGTTGTTAATGAAGCTGTGCCACATACATGTGTTAGTCATCAATGATCAACTGGTCGATCACTGAAAGGTGATTAAAGATGTGTCAAACAGACTCTACGGTAAATTGATAGATTGCTGAAGATGGTCACTGTCAGCCTAGACACGGATCGAGGCGATACTATGATAGATTGGATGTGCATTTTGATAATTTTGCATCACAACAATTGTATGCACAATAATGTATCGGCTGCTGTTTGTAAACTCTCTGTCTGTATGTCCTGTGACTGACATGTTTTGCATCTAATTTCTTACTATAATAAGGGGCTCGAAATCATGGGACGTTGACAAGTTGGTGCCCGATCGACTCTCCTCACTCGGCGAGGCATTATCACTATAAAATTAACAAGACCTGATCATTCTGCCTTCCAAGTGTTAACAGAAATAAATGTTCTCAAAGGTAAGACTTAATTTTAGTGTATTGTTATTGTTATTAGACACGTAATCAGAAATACTTTTCAAATTTTAGGAGCTCAAAAACACAGTTCATAAGGATACATATCACTAACAGATCAACAGCTTTTAACATCCAAATATTTGACAAATTTAATAAATGTGAGTAAGGGTAACTTCTTTGAGTGGCATTTAGAAGTTGGAGTGATGAAGTAAGACGAGTTCTATGGATGAACAACTTCTTTATTACAATTAGTGTTACGTTTCGGTGTAGATCCTAACACCTTTATCAAGCAAGTGAGTAAGGGTAGTTTTACACCACTTTAAGCATATTCCTCCTGTAATATCAAGGAGGGGGACACCAGAAATTAGCTTCACACATTGTACCCATGTGGGAAATCAAACTTGGGTCTAAGGTGAGGAAATGCTTTGACCACAAGGCTTCCTCACTGACCAAATACAAAAATTTAAAAATGATGGTCACTACTCAAAACTAGTCATGAGTCATAAACTACAAGAAAACTGGGGGCAACAATGCAGTTTACCTGGCGCAGCCCAAGCTCTACCATCCGCTCAATTACCGCGCTATAGTGCCACCGCTGTCTCATTATACTGTTACCGTGCCTCACGCTCTGGTTACTCTCGCTTCAGGATCCAACACCCGTTTTCGGTCTTAGGGAAACTTACACATCTTTACAATCAAACACCCGTTCTAGGTCTTAGGGTAACTTATACGTCTTACGATCCAACACCCGTTTTTCGGTCTTAGGGAAACTTACACGTCTTTACGATCCAACACCCGTTTTCGGTCTTAGGGAAACTTACACGTCTTTACGATCCAAAACCCCTTTTCGGTCATTAGGGTTAGCTTGCTTTGGGCAAGGGTTAGCCATAAATTCTTACCTTTTCAAGCGTTAATCCAGTTAATCCCATTGGTCGTTCTTGTTGACATAAACAATTGCGGGTGTGGTTTCAAGGAAAGATGAATGGGAGAGCGGACCATGACGTCACATGCATGCGCAATTCATTGTTTACCGAATTACGCATGCATGTCAATGGGGATTGTAATGACCTGTTAAATGAGCACTGATTACATGTGATAGCGCCTGTGGTCCAGTGGAAGAACGACGGCTAATTAACGCATTAATTAGCAGAGCCGGTGAGCCAGCGAAGCGCGTTCGAGCCCCCACAGCGCTAATTGGATCTAAAAAAGTGCACCCGGTAAAGTGCACTACTCCCAAACTAGGATACAACTCTTGTATGGAATATTTCTCTAATTTTGATCATTTACAAACATGCTCATATGAAAATCTAAATCACAAAACCTTGATCATGTTCCTCCATAATTATTGACATTGAGGCTGATGAAAAACTGCGTTAGAAATTGGCACTAGCACTAGTCCTTTAGTCCTTGCCAAACAAGGACTGCCCAATAGTTATGGTATCATAAGGTAGTAATTTGCCATTTTTAAGGGGTTTGGCTATATGTTATAGGAACTAGGCCTAGTGAACTGAAAATGTTTGTTTCTACCGCTGAAAAAGCATGAATAACAATTGATTACATCGTGACGGGAAAATGCAATTCATATTTTTCTTCTTACCAATCGATGACAGCAGGTTGGGGGTCACCCTGCAGAGACTAGCCATGTTGAATGCCTACGAAATTGCTATACGTCTTGTGTAACCTTCAGAGTTTATATAAAAACCCATCCAACATGGCGCTGTCCAGTAGACAGCAGTGGCGCAGTCAAAAATATTTTACCGACCCGTTTTCTTAATTATAAAATCATTCACACTCAGTGTTTTTATCTTAGTAGTCATCAGTTTGTAATTAATTAAGGAACACAATCGTCATATATATTTTTGGATGAGGATGACCGCTATTAAACCGGTTTTATTTCCAATATACTCCAAACATAATGCGCCAGTATTTCATAGACAGGGGCCAAGTTTAGCTGCGGGTCTCATGTTTATTACCTTGACCTTGGACCGTATTTGTGCGACTGCTAAGTTGTTCGTGGACATGCTCATGATATGCGTTGTGTTGCCAATTTTCTGTTCAGTACAAGACATTGTATTTGATACCTTGTGGGCATCTTGGGCTTTGTCTCTGTATTATTATGTATATCGATATAAATCATGGAATTTTACCGATTAAACGGGGGGGCACGTAAATTAAGGCATGGCTGAGTCAACTGCCAACCCGGTATCTCAAACAACGTTAACATTTGTCACCATGCAATAAAACCTACCGTCTCATTAAGCAGTTATTCTTTGTTTACTATATAGCAAAGAAAATCTGAAGTAATTTAGCTATATGCTCTGGTGACGTATTTTCATACATAAACATGGTCGATATTTATTAGTGTTAGTGATCCAGACAAGTCGGTTAAGATAAATTGTGAGAGAACGTAGAATTACATGCATCATATCAATATGGGATCACTAAATGCCATGCTAGATCGTGATGGCAGGCAAAAGTTCAAAGGCATGGTATCAGGGGATAGAAAGTATCGTGCCTGATGCAGATAATGTGTGAGACACGTTCCAAAATGTAAACCCCCCTTGTCGTCACGTGCTCGTGGGTAAAGAAAGTGTTTTGTGTGTGTGCCCAAGTGAAAAGGTGGGTAATGCTAATTCCAGCCGACCAATTTCGGACATGTACGCATAAACTATCATATCTGTATTGTAAAGAAAGGCAACAATTACAGCAATTCTTTTTCGTCTGTATAATTCGTCCATCACCTAGTGTATGTTACAAGCCCGTGAAGTATGCATGGGCCTATGACACCTCCACCCAGTCTCGTTAAAATCAGATCGTTGTGCTCGCTACCGCTGGAGCTAGCGAGAACTCCGGTCTGGTTTTCGTGGGATTTCAACCCTCTCCAAAGTGTGCATGTCTGTCTTATCTACCAATCCAACTTCAAATAACTGGTTTCATCTCAGAGATCCACTGAGTTCCTCAAGTTTATAAGAGACCAAAACAGTCCTATGGTTAAAAACAAATATATACATGTAAGATATAGTCATATAACAATTATTTATCATACAGATGTAAAACTCAATAAAAATTGGTTTGTGTGTGTGTGTGTGTGTGTGTGTGTGTGTGTGTGTGTGTGTCCCCATCGGAACACCTTGTTTGTGAGTCTATTCTTGTCTAGGTCAGTCTTGCGTATTTACGAATTACATTCCAACTGATCTTTACTGCAGTAGGGGTCCAGCCCCTATCACCAACAAAGGCAGCATTAGGAGGATGTTTTTGTGGACCCTTAAAAAAACTCCATTGCTCTGATTTTTACAGATTTCGTGAATGATAAATTACTACTGCCCCAAATTGCTGATCCATATTCAATCGTTGACCATACCATTGAGTCGTACACTGTACATACGAGGAATGTTAATTTGGATATTAGTAATCCCAGCACCCTATTAGCCGAGCTTGCCAGTGCTTTAGCCATGCATGAGTAATCTGAAAACTCTGTTATTAATAATCCTAGGTAACAGTAACTGTCAGCAATCTCAAGAGTTAAATTTCCACAGCTAAAAGCACAGTTTGTCCTTGGTGTTGCCATACGCCAGCAGTGAAGAATTGTAGAATTCAGTCATTTGCTAACACCGGACCAGTTATGACGACATTCTAAGAGAGCATTTAGGTTCGCAAGATTGGTGGGTTGGTTCGTTGTTAACGCCGCACTCGTCGATATTCCAGCTATATGACGGCGGAGTCTGGACCAGACAGTCCAGTGAGTGATATCATGCGCACCGATCCAAGCAATTGGGATCGATGACATCCATCAACCAAGTCAGCGAGCCTGACCACCCGATCCCGTTTGTCGCCTCTTACGACAAGCATGATCGCCTCTTATGACAAGCATGATCGCCTCTTACGACAAGCATAGGTTGCGGAAGACCTATTCTAACCCGGATCTTCACAGGTCTTTTCCGCAAGAACCACTAAGTGGTCTGCACATGCCGATACACGCAGTTTCTATTCCCATCGTCGATCCTGACACCTATATCCAATCCATGTAAAGTAGTAATGAGTTCGTTTATGTAAATGTCGAACACCAAAAAGAAAAGAAAGCATCATTGCTTCAAACCGGATCTCACTTATTGGACCACTGAGTTAAAACTCCCGTTAATCCTCACATAACATTTAACACTTGTATAAAGATACAACAGCTTCTTACATTCGTCCACATATACCAAGGTCTAATAACTTCTTCCACAGAATATCCCTGTCAATAGTATCTTAAGCCTTTTTTTAAATGAATAAAGGCTAAGAAAGTTCAATTCTTGGGCGACTTCCTCGATTCCGCTATAGATGTTAATATGAACCGTGTTCCACTCTCGACCTTCCTTTTCTGGAACTGTTTTGTTCGTCAGATAAAAAGCTATTGTTCTCCGCATACTTATACGGTCTCTTTTTAAGATAGAACAATAAAGTTTATAGCTCGCGTTAGTAAGTGGTCATATTTATCAAAACATGATTCCGGGATAGGGTAGATAATGGCTTTCTTCCATTCGCTCAGCATTTTCTATTTGAACAAAACAACACGTTCAGCATTACACATGACTCTCCACAGGCCCGTAAGTGTACCATTCCGACATCGCTTTCTTCTTAAACGCCTCCTTTTGTTGGGGTTTGGGGTCCCGGGTGATGTCAGCTCCATCTCCTCCTTCGCGGTAGATTAGAAGTTTAGAAATAGTTTAAAGCTTGCACGTTACAATTTGCATCTAGAAATTTATCCGGTACCGATGTCACATCATACTTTATACATTTGACAGTATTGGTTTCATTATTCCTCGCCCCGCCGGAACTTGAAGTAGATAACGGAGAGATTGCCATGTCCCAGGAGAGGAAAGAATCATCGAGTGTTGTTATCGCCTGTGCACTCTCTCATCCTAAATACTCTACCAGTTCTACTAAATCAGATGCACATGTAACCTTAACATTTGATAAAAGATTAACATGTTCACATAGACAAATGCAATCAGCCACAACCACATTTTTAACATTGTTTCTACCGTCCTTCAAGCAAATATTTACCATACATAAGAATTGAAAGTCTGTTTGATGATTCCCAACGTGATTCCTGATTCATCAATGACCTCTCTAGTTGGGGGAAAGTCCACCCCTTCAGTGAGATCAAGCATGGTACCGCATGAACTGTTCAGATCACCACACACATACCTAATGTTGTAAACATGATAATTCGCTATTTGTGATAAGAGGGTGTCGTAAAAGTCAACAGCTTCAATGTCTCTTGTTGAATATTCCGGCGGTAAACAGCATACACAAGTACAAAAGCAACACTTATATCACACTTACGGACCAACTTTAATCACAAAATATTTTCACATTCAACATTAAGAATTGTCAGTTTATAATCTAATTAAAAAATCATTTTTAATTAAAAACCCACGTCTCCGGGACCCGTTGTGGCTTGCTCATGTTGATTGTTTTTGTGATGTCCATACCACGAGTAATCTGACACATTCATATATTACTTTCTGTCAAATGTGATTCCGCAATACCTATGACTTCAAGGTCGAGGTGCAAAACACATCTAGATCTCAAATCGTGACCGTCTGACATAGTATCACTAGCCCACCCGTTGACGTTCCAAAACCCACATGTTGCCTATCTATACTGGGATGACTTGTACATCCGTCCATGTGAATTCGCCCGTGTCCTGTTGCATCCTGTCGAGGTCTCTGATTAGTCCGGTTGTTGTTGTCACGTGATACTTGTTGATAAACATTTCCCCTAACACGTGTACTTGTAGTACTATGCTGATCGCGTTCCGTGGAATGTGTTTCCCTCTGGCGATCATGCGCGTCTGTGTCGTCGTGGTATTGTCTTACAAGTGCGATCTGAATCATTCAAACAATGTTGAAACACCACTTGTATATTTCTACAAAATAATGTTTCATAATGTTTATTTATCTATACCTGTTAATTATAACACAAGATGCGAAGACATATTGAGACATTGTGCCATTAATGGCACTATTTACACAATGACGCACTACCTAGACGAAAAAGGCATCAGACCGTGAAGAATATTCCGCTTTTAAAGCACCATTCACTCACTCTTGTCAATCTGTTTTAAATTTAACCCATGCACTCTCGGAGCTTCACCAGTGGAGGGATGAGTGAGTATGAGTTTATGTAAATGCGCATGCGTGTAAATTGCGGTTGACACTATAGAAGTAAGCGCCACTCTTAAGTGGGCCCTTGAGAATCCCGGGCGAAAACAGGTCCCCAGCAACCAATGCTAGTCGTAAGAGGCGACTAAACTGACCGATCGGGTGGTCATACTCGGTGGATGAATGCCCATGGTGTCAATCACTGGATTGTCTGCTCCAGTCTCGATAAATTACGACTGCCTTATAACTTATTCTTGAAGCTGTCTTAAAACGTTTGCAACGTTAGATTACATACGACACAAATCTTCGCTAAGACAGTCAGCGTTTTTGGGCCTGGGGGCAAAATAAGCTGGGTGTTTCCCAATGACGTCATCGGTTATTAAGGAATTCCCTGGATTGAAATTATATTATTATTATTATTTATAAAATGTCATGTACGTTTAAAGATAAACAATTAAACCGCTATTGAAGATAAATGTTGATGTTATAATTAATGCTGTTTCACAGCATTATTGCTCAATGAATGATAGTATTGTCAAGCTGTTGTCCTTTATAGATAGATATTGCAAGTATTAAATAGAATGCTTGTATTAGCTAAGGTTTTT